GCCCCCCCCCCCCCTTTTGGTTGCACTTGCATTTCAACCTTTCTTTCATCAAGGTTTAGTATTTTTAGTTTTTATCTTTACTTTCACCATGTTATAATATATTTTTTTGTATTGATGAACACCTTACTTAAGAATATTACTTTGAGTCGAACAAATCGAAGTTATGCCCATATTTTTGTCACAATAAGAATATTACAATATTTATCCTTGTCACTCCAGGCCTCAACACAGTAGCAATCCACACTTATCGCTCCGCACCTAAGACAATAATAATATCTGCCCTTATCGCTTCGCACTCGACACAAATAATAATATCCGCCCTTATCGCCCCACACCCTACACAATAGCAATATCCGTCCTTATCGCTCCGCACCCGATACAATAACAATATCAACTACAATTGCACGGTAAAATCCCAAATAATCTGCCCAAAATGTCCATATGTGCCCTAATTATAACAAAATAATGATGCTAAAATTTTATCAAGATATAAGCTCATAGTTAGGGGTGTCATTGGTTCGGTTCGACCGGTTATTTTATAAAATTTGTACCATATCAATTTTTCGGTTATTCTATTATGTATAACCAAAATTAGACTTTTCGAATCCGTCACAATCATGTCGGTTTCTCTTCGGTATCGGTACGTGTCGGTTAATTTTCGGTATTTTTTTTAATATCATGTAAAATTCACCATTAGAAGTAGAATTGCAATAACATATGTTCTTTTATAGGACTTAGCAAAACTCTCTAGACATTTTTAATGTTTAAAGGGTGATGAATTAAAAAAAAGATGGCTAGAGTATAGATCCATCAGCTATTCTACAACAACGTAAAAGAAATTAAACAAAGGCAAAGAAAATATTAATCACACGAGTTGAAAGATATACCAAGCTGGGACTCAAGAATAAAGTCTATAGAAGATTAAATATTCAAAAAGATAAATCTAAATTATATGAAAGGAAACATATTCAATACATTGTAATACTTTGTGTCTTGCTAATAAAGATACTCGAAATAACTTAGTTTAAGTAGAAGTAGCATAATAGGTTTTAGGAATTAGTATTTTGAGTTTAATTACTTGTTGGATTGTAATAGTTTTCATAATTCCAAGGCTCAAAGAAAATTTAATGCATTATTATTTTTAAATATACTAAATAAATATATTTTCTACATGTAAAATTTATTCGGCACGGTTTGGTATTTTTTCGGTTTATTTTTATAAAATAAAAAACCTACCCTAATTATTGGCGCGGTTATAGATTTATATAAAAACCTACGATTTCTTTTAAAAAAACTAAAAATCGATTCGGTGCGGTACGGTTCGATCGATTTAATCGGTTTTCGAATATCCATTGACACCCCTACTCATAGTTTAGCAACAAAATATGTAAGGACATAACAATAATAAAAATGCGGATGGATATTCAATATATATAAAATATGACTATAGTTAAATGTAACGCCAGTAACCGAGGAACACCCCTACGCTCTTCAACCTTCAGGCCCCTCCCCTGCTCCAAAAGATTAAACAAAATTTCAACTTACCACAGTAACATGGGGTGGTATCTGCAACTTTTCTCTTTTTTCCCATTAGGTTCGTCGTTGATATAATTTGCCTCTCTGGCCTCTGCCATTGGATCGTCGTCTTGGGTTCTCCGATCCCCTTTACTTCCTTTTCTTCTTTGACATAGAGATGCAAAACCTCATTCTTGTTCTAAAATAACTTTTTTATTGGGGGAAGATGGGGAATATATTCGTGAAGAAACCGAAGATCACCGAAGTGGATAAAGCAATTCTCTCTTTAAAGACTCAAAGGCGTAAGCTTGCCCAATATCAGCAACAGGTATTATAAGAATAATTTCTGAGAACTTCATTTTCCCCCTTTTGGAATTCTAATTGCAGTTTCATTTTTGTTGGGCTAAACTTAATTTGCTTTATTCTAGGATGGCTAATTCACCTTTGCAGATAAGAGTCTTGCTACCAGCATTCTGTTGATCCTTGTGTCAAAAATGATTTGATACCCATCCCTTGATTATGCTAATTTCCACCCCAAAAAAATTAAATATTAAAAGAAAAAAAAACCCCAAAAAAGAATAAGTTAGTCTAAGATGAGGTAGGGGAAGTTTCTTGGAATTCTGGTAATTGAAGGTTCAAGGTGATTGTCTACCTTGAGAATAAGAATTCTCACCCTTTCTTGGTGCCAAAGGCTCCACTTAGGGACTGATTTGCGAGACGTCCTCAAGGAATATTCTACTAAATACGTGTTGGTTTACGATCTGCTAATCCTTTCTGTAATTCATTGCTCTCAGCTAGAAGCTGTCATTGAAGCTGAGAAACAAGCTGCAAAGGACTTGCTACGCGAAAAGAAGAAAGATAGGGCCCTTTTAGCATTAAAGAAGAAGAAAGTTCAAGAAGAATTATTAAAGCAAGTTGATGTCTGGCTCATAAATGTTGAGCAGCAAGTAAGTAATTCTTCTTAGTTCCCCTGCTAAATGTCCGTATTTAAGCATTTCAATGTTTTCTGATTCATGTGCAAATTCTTTTAGTTGGCAGATATTGAACTGACAAGCAAGCAGAAGGCTGTCTTTGAGAGTTTGAAAACTGGAAATAATGCAATCAAAGCAATACAAAGTGAGATCAACCTAGAGGATGTTCAGAAGTTAATGGATGATACTGCAGAGGCAAAAGCTTATCAAGATGTAAGCTCATTTGATATAAAATCCCCTGTTATCTTAGATATGGTTAACTCTTATTAGTCTTGTGAGATTTGGGAGTTCATTCATGCTCGTTGAGTCATAATATTTCTGGAGTAGTACCGAAAGGGAGATGGCTAAAAGGTAAGGGGAAAAGATGAGAAAGGGGAGAAGAAGGAAAATCAAGAGGAAAAAGATTACAGTAAGGGAGATGGGACAAAGACAGGGCAAGAAATGATAAATGAAGAAGGTAGAAAGTTAAGAGGACAGATTATAATAGGAGAATCAATTCTTGTCTATGTAAAACAACATAAAAATGGGTCTGAACTCCGACCTATAGAATAAGAGCCTTAAAGAAGCCAGGACATTTGTTACAAGGCTATATCTGTATCCAAAGGTACAAACGAAAACCAAACGAAGTCTAACAATTGGAGATTGATAATAATCGGTGATAAAATCTGAATTAAAAGATCCTACATAATCTAAAAGATAATCTGAAAATAATCTAAAAATAAATGTAAATTATCTGAAAATCTGGGAAAACACATATAGAAGTTTATTTTTGTTGAGAATCTTTTCCTTTTTGTTGAGATTATTGATTTTTTCGCATCTATCTTGAATAAGGGGTTTCCCCCTAGTTTCATATGCATGTTGTTAATGTTTCTGGGTGAGGAAGCGTACGAATGTCGGAGGACAGATTAGCTCTGTGCACAAGAAACGCTCCACATGACTACCTATGCTTGAAGTGGCCCAAAGGTGTTGCTTCCAATTAGATTTGCGCTCTAGGCACTAGTCAACTGAGCTCCCTTTTGAGAATTATTGGGATAAACCGATAAAGTGATTAATATTTGTGCAACTTTGGTCTTTGAGCAAATAACTTGACCAGTTATTAAATTTATAGTTTCCTATAATGCAAGATGTGAATGTTGGAGGGATTAATCATCTGCCTTTAGACATTTTCGCTCCTAACTGTTAGATTTTGTTTAACTTCTCCAACTCTATAAGACTTTGCTTCACTCACATTTTTCTAAATTCAGTTTGAAGGACAGCAACAATGTATTTTATATAGTTCTAGTGCTGTTTATTCTCAGTCAATAACAACTGCAATTTGGAAAGAGATCAGCCTGGCAGTGAAGAACGCTCCCTTTCCTATCTTGGCTTTTTTCGATAACTGCTTGTATCCTTTTGCAGGAAGTGAATGCTATTCTGGGAGAGAAGCTATCTGCTGAAGATGAAGAGGAAGTTTTAGCAGAATTTGAGGATCTGGAATCTCAGGTCTGTCTTTTTATGATGCAGGCAATTGTTGCTAAAACTTCGTTCATTTATTTCTTTTGGCAACTATATGCTCCTTCTGGTGATAACAAAATTACAGCTTTGCTGTGGCCTTTTCAGCTTATAACTATGAATCATCTTAATTTTCCTACTGGGCTATACTTCCCTTTTTGGCTGAGGGATAATCAACTGCACTAAATGATCACCTTCGCTATAGCACTACAAAATATCTAGTTCTAGTATACTGCTATCTAGTTTTCTGTTGATGCGTTCTCCTTTTTTCGAGGGAGCAAAAACTTGGAGATAAAAAAAAATAATATACTGTTATAAACCCATGTAGGGGTCTATAGAGCCTTCAAAATCCTGAGATATTACTTTTCCCATCCCTTTGATATATGTATAGTATTTATAGGCTAATTTTGTGCGTGTGAGCCATTTGGACAACTTGATTGGAATCAGATGATACTTGAATTATGAACCAAGATGTGCTGAGTAATTAGAAGTATTAAGTTATGCATGAGTCGTATTTTATTTTATTTTTGATAAGGTAAATTGTATTAATCAAAAGGGAGAAAACTCCCGTATACAAGAAGTATACCAAAAAATAGAGAATTTACATCAGAACATGATTCTCTACAAATAACGCTCAATCTTCTATACAAGCAGCGGCTATATGAGTGCATCAAGAAGTATGCATGAGTCGTATTCACAAGTATTCTTTTTTTTTTTTTTT